ATTATTATTATTACGGCTTTACTCTCCATACGCAGGTACACCTCTTCATCAACAAAAAAAGATTTTTGACTCTTTGATGAAGCAAAGACTAGTAAAGGATGATATATGGTGAGTTGTATTGTACTACAGTGTGTGGGTGTATCAAAGGCACTGCATGAAGGAGTGGCAGACGGACTAATATACATGCATGTACTGGTATGCCTTTCATACACCCACACACTATTATACAAACCAGATAAACTACAACTGTTTTGTGTTACTGGATACCTTATGGTTGGAATTTTTGGAGGGACTAAAATTTGGCAAATTGCTAAATTTTGATGATTGGTGAATTTTAATTTAACAAATTTGTGGCCATGTGCCATTGAGCATGTGTATAATGGCTCAAAATGGTGGATTTTATTTTGGCAAATGGCTATCAAAATACCTAATTCACGAAATTTAATTCCCTTCAAAATTTCCTGCTATACGGTATACCTTAAGGAGACAATTATTAGCATGTACTTATTTTAGCAATTTTCACATACTGACATTTCATGATAAAAACTATAATAATTTAATCAGAAATTACCAGACTTAAGATAGCAATTTTTTAATCACTAAAATTTGCTAAATTAAATACCCGCAAACAATTGTCTCCTTAAGGTATACACTCAGATGTTAGTTAATTAGAAGCCTTGGTTTTTAATCAACTAACATCCTCATATATATCCAGTAACCCTCAACATCTAATATCTAGTACTATTGGCACATGGGCCAGAGCCATATCTTGGCTCATGACTAGCATCATAGTAGCATGTTTTCTTGTTTTTTTCTCTTTTGCACTAAAAAATATTAAATTGAACTAAATTTAGATATATTAATTATTCCACAGGTGCCTAGTTAGCTGTCATTGGTTTGAGAAGTGGACCAAGTTCATTGATATTGCCCTTAAAGCTGGAACTGACGGCTGCAACAAGAGCTCTCATCCCGGGCCTGTCACTAACTTCACTCTTATAAAGTTTATCAACTTTCAAGCACCAAAACTAAAAAAAGACTTGGCTGAAAACTTAGACTACAAGTTAATCCCAGAGATTGGCTGGGACCTCCTAATACAGTGGTATGGGATAAGCGAAAAGTCAATGAGACTATCAAGGTATATATATATATACTTGTACACTGATTGCATAATATTTTATTATGTATCATAGAAAAGTTATAAAGGTTCAAAAACATGCAATTGGAAAGCTTATGATTGAAGTATATCCAGTTACGGTACTGGTTCAACTCGTTTTTCCTGAGAGCCCAGATGTTGATAGAATTCATT